GCCGCGGCCCGCGGCTCCTCCCCGCCGCAGCCGCGAGGCCGTCCGGCCAGGGGGACGCGCTCGCGCCGGGGCCGCCCCCTCCCCTCCCCCCCCCCACCTCGGCCCGGCCCGGGCGGGGGCGCGCGAGGAGCGGTGACGTCAAGGGGCGCGCGGTGGCAGCACCTCCCCGCGCGCTAGTTAAAAAGAAGAAGAAAAGAGGGAGCGAAACATGAGAGGCTGTGTGAGAAGCTGCAGCCGCCGGCAGAGGAGACCTCAGCATCATCTAGAGCCCAGCGCTGGCCCTGCCTGCGCCTGCCCCGCCGCCGCCGCCGCCGCCGTTTCTGTTCCTGCTACTGTCTCACCTAAACAACTCCCGTTACACGGACAAGTGAACCTCTGTGGCCGTCTTCTCCTCCTCTTCTTCCTCCTCCTTTTCCAACTCCTTCTCCTCCTCCCACTTCCCAGCCGCAGCAGGAAGCCCCTAACCCAACTGACACTGGCACAACTGCAAACGGTGTCATCCGCACAACTTTATCTTGCTCCTCGGACTCCCCTAAGGCATTGGACCCATCGCCTTGTCTTTTATTTTTTGCAAAGTTGCATCGCTCTACATAGTTTCCCCCCCCGCCACCACTCTCTGCCTCTCGAGTGTCCCCCGCAGCCTCCTCCTGGAGCTGCGCCCTAGTGCCCCTGCTGGGCAGTGGCGTTCCCCCCCATCCTCCCGCGCCGAGCCCCTGCCGCTCGGGGCAGACGATGCTGAAGATGCTCTCCTTTAAGCTGCTGCTGCTGGCCGTGGCTCTGGGCTTCTTTGAAGGAGATGCTAAGTTTGGGGAAAGAAGCGAAGGGAGCGGAGCGAGGAGGAGAAGGTGCCTAAATGGGAATCCCCCGAAGCGTCTGAAAAGGAGAGATAGGCGGATGATGTCCCAGCTGGAGCTGCTGAGTGGGGGAGAGATGCTGTGCGGTGGCTTCTACCCTCGGCTGTCCTGCTGCCTGCGGAGTGACAGCCCAGGGTTGGGGCGCCTGGATAACAAGGTAAGCACGCACCCGCCTCACGGATGCGAGATTGACGTACTGGCGAGGTGGGGGTTCCCTGTGGCTCCAGAAATGCTGGTGGCTGTGAGAAGGTGCGAAACTTGTTTGGAGAGTTCTTTTTGATAACTTTCCTGAATTGCTAGTGTGATTCGGTTGTGGTGTTTCTCTGGGGTGCGCAGATAGCTCTCCCGCCCCCAAGAGTCCGCGGTCGGGATGCTGTGCAAAACTGCCTGTCTCAGAAAAGAGAAGCTTCTGTGGTACCCGCATTCTGGGCTGGGTAAATATTTTAAAAGAATCGCGATTAACAGTGTGTTTTGGATCGAATCGGGCATTGGCTGCGGTGAAACTGTAAATTAAGGTGGCTGTGGTTTCCGGTTTATTTTTCTAGGGTAACAAGATTTGTGCAGTTTTCTCCACGTGCTCGGTTAGGGAGAGGATTGAATCGTAAAGGATGTTGAAGCATGGTTGGTTTAGGAGCCCCAGCCCCGTCAGAGGGGGTTGTCTCGCATTACAATAGTTAAACTGCGACAAGGAACTCCTGGTACTCCAATTGAGAACCCGAAGGACGGGCGAAAGATTTTGCTGGGGCATATTTGTCACATAAAACTGAGACTCTTCTCTCCGCCTCAGTTTGCAATGTTTTGAAACATTATAAATTCGGGCTTTCAATGGCAGTTAGTTGTCTAGGAAGAGCCTCTCCTGAAATTGGTTTGAGGAGTAATGGCATTTACACTTTCCTTGTGTTCTTAAGTTTTAAACAAATATGAAATAGTGTTGGTTGAGTGTAAAAGCAAGCTTATTTTTGAGTTTGCGACATCTTTCTTGTCATGGGATGCAGCAACGTGTGCTCTCTACTGTACTGCAAGGAAGCCTGGGGAGCACGTCATTAACAATCCCTGCACGTGAAATAAACAATCAGGTGTCTTTGCTCCCCCCTCCCCTTCCCCATTTTAGGTTTAATTAAGAATTCCTCTGTTACAACACTGCAGTTGTCAAGGTCTGAGAGACTCTTGGAAAACTTGTGCTTCAGTCTTGCTGGCCCAGGCATTAAAAAAAAAAAAAAAATACCCAGGCTGAATCTAATTTTTATGCTCAGTTCACGGTAGATTTCACTCTATTCTCATGTAAACAGCTCCTACGAATCAACATATGTGTCTGGGTGGTATCTCTCACTTTGTTTTGTAACAAAAAGCCATATTGCATCATTTAATTTGCTCAAGTCATGCAAATAGGAAAAAATCAATAGGACAAAAAGGGGTCGACTTATCCTCCTCCCCACTAAACTGCTGCCCACACACAGAGTCCTGTTGCTTATGGCAAAAGAATAACAACAACACCATTGTGTTTGTTAGTTGGTTCACTAATGGGTGAAACTAGAGAACATCATTCTCTTTCAGTCCCCAGCTCTGTCCAAATGTTCATGCCTTTTGAGGGAGCATTTGTCCAACTCTCTCTATTCCCAGATGAGTGAGAACTGTCTTGCTGCAGGTTTTCAGCTGCAACTCTCTCTTTATTCTTACCATATGCAGCAGTAGTCTGAGATTCAGGGAACAGATATTCCAGCATTTTATTCAAAACAATGTCATTAAGCTCCTGTATGGTAATTGAATTAAATTACCAAAAAAAAAAAAAAAAGCTACATTCACATCATCAGCAGGGTTTTACCAGGAGCCCAAAAGAACCAGGAAGTTCATAGAAGTGTTTAGAAATATTTGCCATTAAGTCTCCCTGTGTGCAGTGTGCACTAGGAATATACCCATGATCTGCAGACCCCTGCAATACTGAACTCTTCCAGGAACATGAGGAATGAAAACTTTGTCAACTAAATATAGTGGGGAGTTGGAGGGGTTGGGGGAGGAACTGAGGGGAGTTATAACCCTTAAGAGGAGTTATATAATTTTTTTTTAAGAAATCATTCTTTAGGAAGAAATCTGCCACGTTAGCTATCCACATTCCATTCCGTTTTACGTGCTTCCAATCTCCAACAAACCCCTACTCATTTGGAAAATGTGTCTGAATTAAATTTGGTACACTGGACTTTGCTGGTTCCATTACAAGTGCTTTATAAAAAACCAACAATACTCAAATTGTTCAAAACAGAGTAGTGATATAGCTATGCATGTGTATGCTTGACCTATGTTAGTTCTCACGTTTTAATAGTTTTTAAAACATGTTATTTTATAATAAACTTCAGTGTTTCCCTGTTTTCCCCTAAGCCTTTCTGGCTTATAATATATGTTAGCGTCTTATTTCATAATGTGTGTACAGGAGAGATAATGGCTATTTGAAAGGACCCGTTTTTGTTTATGAAAAGAAAAAAAAAATCCCAAGAAACATTTCTGCAACTTTTCAAGAAACTACAGGCATAGCTTTCTCCTACAGGAAGAAACTTCATAGATAGTAGCACACTAGGTAGGAATATTGAGCATGCTCAACTGTGCAATTAAATCCAGTTTCCAAGCAAACACATTTTCTTTAATGTAAGGAGCTAGCATTGAGTTCAATCCTTTGGCTATGGTATCATGCTTTTATATTTTAATTTTTTGGTATATTTTAGTAATTTTATGTATTGTAACGAGATTATTAACTACTGTTATAAATAAATGCTGCCAAAATTTAGGAAGTTATATTGTCTTGGCAATATTTTTGCAGCTCCTAAATACAACATGCTGAAAGGATCTAATTCCCATTAGCCAAATTGAATCCGCAGCCAACTGAAATACCCCCATTTCTAAAACTTAACTTGTAGCCAGAGAGGCATAGAAGCTCTCTCTACCTTGGGTGGTTTCACAGCCAAAGCTGTCAAGGAATGGGTGAAAAGTAATTGTTTTCAAGTGTGCCCTTTTACAATCATTTGTTTGCTCTGGCTCTTTCAGGGACAAAGGCTATTGTTGAACACATCCAACTAAACAAATAACTCATCCTGGGGTCCCTTTAACAGCTGCCTTAGTACAATGATCTATTTACATATTAGCCTAAAATTGAAACTGAACTCTTTAATGACATAATCCAGCACTATAGTCCAGAGACGCATGTGTTCTAGCCAACAGCTGAACAACCTTGTAGGCATATGATTTTTAGAAATAACTTTTTGTGGACCAAGTGATCTTAAGGCGACATCTTAATATACTGTCACGTATTTTCTCCTTTTGTCTGCTCATTGAACCCATGTGGGTGCCTTTTTATCCTCTTTGTTCAGTTACTTGATAAATAAAGAGAAATACAGAAGGTCTCTGTCACCCATTTTACTATTTGTTGATAAGCTATAGTTGTAGGCCACGCTTCACTGTGTATTCCAGTATTTATCTTACCTTTCTTCTGTGGATTTTACTTTCTTGTGGTTTAAGATTAAAGGATGACCTGCCAGATGTTATAAATTAGTCAGCAACAGCCACAATCATTACTAGGCATGCTGTAATAATGTTTCGAAGTTTTACATGACTTTCAAAGTATATTTAGTTTAAACCACTATAATTTGATGGTTTCATATATGGCTTTTAAAAATCGAAACAGGAAATTAGCTTAAATTTCTTCTTAAGATTGATGACATTGTCAGACATAAAGTTAAGGACCTTTATCGACACAAGCACATAGGCAAAAAAAGAAGAAAAACTACACTACACACATCAGGACTCATCTGTCTAAAACAGTGTTGCAGCTTGGGCTGAGTCAGTTTAATTGACTTCAGTAAGACTATTGGTTCATTGAAACCAAAGCCAGAATGATGGCTCTATCTATCTTCAAATAGGTATTTACACTGCAGACCTCACACAGAGCAAAATGTTACCATCCTGCTGGGCCGGAACAGCATGAAACTTTACAAAGAATAATATTATACTCGATTTCAGATAATTTATTGAATCCTATTTCTGAAACTTTTGATGAGAGATCTTGTGGCCAGGACACATTCCAAAAATTGTAAAAGACAAAATTCTTTAGGCACTAAAATCAAGCTCTTCCTGGACAGCAGCTGGGAGAGTATATGGGGATCATTTTGTATCCGCTATAAAAAAATGGAAGCATGTATATTCTCCATAAAACTAAAGGTAATTACATTCTAGTTTCTCAGCCAGCAAAAAAGGTGGCTTCAGCATCCTGCAGTTGTTTTGTTCTTAGTGGACGGCTCTACGATAAGCAAACAAAACAAAGTTGAACAGTATTAATATTGAATAGATCCGGCGAGGTCTGCCAGAGTATGGACAATAAAAGACATTTAAAACATTCTTGGAATGCAAATTCTGAGTGTCTGGCATATGTTTCCTTTTAGAAAACTTTAACCATTTAAGCAATTGTCATTTAAATAAATTGATAAAAATCAAAATGTAAGTATAATTGTGATTAATAATAACTTTTCTGAATGTTGTAGATAGTTACAACACATAGCACATATTTATTTATTTATTTATTTATTTATTTATTTATTTATTTATTTTGAAATAGGGTAACTTCTATGGAACTTTTAATTACTGCATGCCAAAATTTTAGCATGCTTGTATTCAATGATACTTTTTAGTTGCTTTGTTCTTTCAGATCCAAATTTTGTGATCACCTAGAATATCTTTATCCTAAAAAATAGAAGCCAGACCATTTACTCAAATTAGAACCTCCTTGTGAATGAAGTATTTGCTTTAAAACAATGATCTGAAGTTTCAGATGTTAATTTCAGTTCATAGTTTTAAAGAAATAACTAAGTATAAATGTAGTTATATAAACAAAAAGGTATGAAATCTCCCATTATGGTGTTTTTTATTATGAAAAATCAATGCTTAGTTTAGACAGCACTACGTTTCATGTCTCAAATATTGTGCTGGTATTGTCTTCCATATTTATTAGAGGAGCTCCTGAAGTCAGTTTTTTTAAAGTTAGTACTAGACACCAAGACCTATTTTATCGACAAATTACTAACCTCAGTGAATCAGTAACTCCCGAATTGGTCTTACTGAAATAAAAGGCATAATACTGTATAAATAAAGATAAAAGTATTCCTTTTTTTACTAAAACTCACTAAATCCTATACAAAAGCACTTTTGTTAAACTCCTGTGTTTATTCATGCATATAACATACCTGAAGAGCTAGTTAGAAAGTTTTTCCTGGCTAAGATAAAATGAATAATAAAAATTGGTCTTAAACCAGTTCAGCTTCAGATATTATTTTTATACAACATGAAAAGGAGGTATTTCCCCCACTTTAGGAAACTTTCCCTATGCAATCCGTAGATTGAAAATTAACTGAAATTAGAGAAATGTAATTCCAGTAATATCCCTGAGAATATCGTATTAAGGAATATCAGGAGTGAACTACATTTTTACTTAAGACACAAATAACCATGTCTTAAAAAATTCTGCTTTACATACAGTTGGATAAAGGTATTTGGAGTTTTAAAGTTAAATATCAGTCACTATACACTTTGATACAGAGTAAAATGATAAAGGATTAAAGGGTCTCAATATAATCGTCATTTAATTTTTCATACCCAAAAGATAAACAGACTTTGATTTGCAAGAGTAAGAAGCACTTTTGTGCATCCTTACTCTCTGGTCCCCCAGCCCAGCCCAAGAGACTCTACTTACATCCTAATTAAAAGCATTCTGTATTTGTGACATGGTAATTCTTTTCAGACAACTGCATTGGCTAAATTACACAATTCTACGTATAGTAGTACAAAAAACATAACTAAACCTAACTTCACATGACTAAAAAGTTTGTGTCTGATTTATGGCTTTCAGATATTTTCTGTTACCAACAACACAGAATGTGGGAAGTTACTAGAGGAAATCAAATGTGCGCTTTGCTCTCCACATTCCCAGAGCCTGTTTCACTCACCTGAAAGAGAAGCCTTGGAAAGAGACCTTGTACTTCCCCTGCTCTGCAAAGACTATTGCAAAGAATTCTTTTATACTTGCCGAGGCCATGTTCCAGGTAAAAAAAAAAAAAAAAATGGGTAAATTAAATAAACTACTGTAGAATATCCTTACAAGATACCTGTTCTTAAATGTTCGCTTCTGAGAGGGTAAAGTTTATCTCACCTTCCCAAATACCTATTTTTACCTCACAGTTAACCTTTACAAATTTGTAACCTTTCAAAATTGCTGCTAAAAGGCTTACTGTCATTTCAGTCTACAAACAGTATGTTGGTTTTGTTGAGATGTTTTACATTTGCTAAATCGATAATACAACTGGTAGTCTTTACACACATTGGATTATCAATACAGGTTTCTTGTTGGTGTCTTCTTCATCCATCAGCACCAATATCAAGACAGCCTCCTTTTCTACCTAGCAGATACCAAAGTGCTGATTGCCCACGGATTCTTAAGGTCTTATTTCCTTAAATAAAGAATCATTAGAAATCCAAAAAAGTAACACCTTACAGAGCACCTTTACATGTAATGACTAATCTGCTCCTCAAAAACTCTGTGCTGCAGGAAGGAAAAGTGGAATCATCCCCATTTGACCAATGAGGATAACCGAGCCTCCGGAGAAGTTAAATACCTCAACCGAAGTTGTGTGGCGAGGAAGTGATAGGACAGATATAGAAGTTCGTAGGCTGACAGTGTCACAAATATACCTGCTCACTACCATATTTTGGACCCTAATAAACACATAGATTCTTGGACCTTGATTACTTTTACCATCAAAAATTTGTAAACTTTGGTTGTTGTTGCTTTAGTTGGAAGAATCAACACAGAGATACAAAAGAATTTAACAAGACAGATTGTTTAGTTAGGCAGAGTCACACACAAACAAATCTACTGAAGCTAACAGTTTATAAAACTAAATGACATTGAAGGAAAAGACAAGTTTTAAGAACTGTAGGATGCGCTTGGAGAATTTTTTTAACTGCTATACATATTTTACATTTTTCTCTGACCCAGAAAAGTGTACATTTCTTATTTTTTTAATAGAGCTCTCTTAATAACCTAAGAAAACATTTTGACTAGGATTGCTTGCTTCCTTTGGTGTGCCATAACATGTATCTAAACCCATTCATGCGAAAATATTATTATTGTCTTTATAAACTGCCGCCATGTTTGTAAGGCTTTTCTTGAACCAGCTGTTTGTTCCTCTTTATCACATTCCCCAAAGCAGAGTAGAATAGGTCACGGTTGCCTAGATATCCTCCCAAGAAGCAATAACAGATTAGGTACCATAAAGGTTTGCTGCAAATTTCAAGTCTTGAAGGGTTGCCTTTACCAATATAAATTGAAAGTAATACGGGCACTTACCATTTTCGTCCATCTTTGCCTACCTGAGAGAAATACAACTGTGCTGGATTTAAGGACTCACCCCTAAGGTCTCCATAGATGTGAAGTTATTTTAGCTTCCAAAACAAACAACAGAAAGAGTATCCAGCAAAAGAGAGAGAGTGCAGCAAATAGCTCAGGAGCCAGAACTGCAAGCACCTCGCTCCCCAGATCAACATATGTGGTGACGAATGACAAATTTATTTTTCTACAAAGTTTGTATATATGTAAAACTGCTGAAGAGCATCAAGATGTCAAGTGCTTTTGGTGACCACCCAGGCTGCCTTGAAAGATAACCAGATGAAAGCTCCACTCCAGTGGTGGATAGAGCAGCAAGGGTGCTTTCCGGGGACAGGCTACAGGCTCTAGCAACAAGCAGAGGGGACTTCCTCTGCATCCGTCAAATGCTAATAATCATTCTAAAGACTTGTCCCAAAAGTGAGTTGTAATAACACACTCTTTGTGTTAATTTATGTTAATCAGTTTGTTTCCAGACTGATCCTTGGCACACAGTTGACCATTTTCTAAAGTATGATAGATAAGATGGTAATCCTGCCCCTCAGCCCTTGTCCCAACACAGAAGGCTCTTTACAATTCTGGAACACTTCTTTTTCAGAAATCGCCCTCGAAGCAAATTTTTAATATTTTCACCTTCTTAAATCTATGGCATGACATGGCTTACTTTCCTCTAGAGTTCAGAATTGCGGAAAACAGATACTTTGTGATTCTTTCTTATAAGAAGTCAGTATATTTGACAATCCTCATTAATAGCCTCATCTTTCTGCACATCAAAAACTTGAAAATCCACTGCTAGGGCAAATGCTGAAAGGGGTTGAGAGAGGAAAAAAAAAGATCTCAGAGGCATCTTCATTTTCCCCCCATTGCCCAGTAGGTCAAGAAATAAACATATAAATGCTCTATCCCTTTGCTTCACCTTCATGACTTTAAAGAAAGCACCAGTTACTTGGGAATCCATGCACATCTGGAAGATAACTGCATTTTAGAATCTTATTCAGAAATATTCATGGTCTGCCTCTTTTCAAAACCTAAGAAAAGTTAAAAATCAGTAGTGAGGGTACACTGGTGTTTTATTAATCATAATATTCTCCAGTTGTGAATTGACTTAAGGAAGTAAATTCTTAAAACTTCTAAGAATAGCAAAATTGCATTTGGAAAAAAAAAAAAACCACACATGCAAAGAGGAGCTCCTTGCTCCCACCAGCGGCCCTTTTTTCTGCCTGCAGTACAATGAGCAGAGTAGATGTTTTGTTGTGGAAAGGGTAGAAATGGACATGTATTGGCCTTGCTTCTTCCTTTACACTTGTTACCACGAGTATCATGATATACTTTTTCTCACTCTTAGACCGTCCTCTCTTCAGCTATAGGTTATTTAGTGCCAAATGTCTGTATACAATTAGTTCAATTGGTTTAATCCTGTTGCTAATGAGGCCAAGGTCAAGGGTTTGATTCCACCGAGGCTCTCTAGTCCATAGCCACTCCTGACCCCAGTCAGATATCTTACACATGGAGTTTATTAGTCCCCAGGAGAGCAAACCAGACGGAATGGGTGGATACATCAAAATCCACTACCTCTATTAGAAAATGCTGTCAAGTGCAGGCCCTACTGACAGTGAGTTTTGTTTTGTTTTGTTTTTTCCTTATCATGATAAACAGCATGTATAATGAGGAAAAGTAACTTTTCTCTAGCATACATGGCCAAGAGAAAAGCTAGAGCTTAGAATATTCCACAGAGAATATTTATTTACATCAGTATGTTAGGGAGTGCTTTGTGACATAGTAGGACTGGATTCACCAGGATCCAGGAGAATAGTTACAGGTCCAGGATATTTAATAAATTATAAGGAATTTTAAAAAATGCAGCTGCTGGAATAATCCATGTATTCCCATCATCAGTAGACTTGATCATACTGTGGTGATCCAGGGTGAACTAAACACCCACCTTCATTCAGTAAAATGCTCCTCAGGGTATTGTTCCAAATAGTAGAAGGGTACCATTTGGTAAATTATGTCTTCCCTGGCAATAAATGTAAGACCAGTGTCCTGAAACCAGGTCCCTTTTAGCTCTTCACAGCAAAAACTATCTTATTCATCACTGTCCACAAAATCAGATCATTTAAGGTAAAGTATTAATGAAAGTATTACATGTTGCAATGGAAATGTTGTAATATGTGATTGTAATATGTGACAAATATTGTAATTATGAGAAAAATGCCCATATTTTTATGTAAAAGTCTTCTGAGTTGGCTCCCTCCTTCACACTTACTCAGTTTGCCTACATTCTGTAAAAAGCTAGGAGTAATTCATTGTTAATTCCATTTTTGTTTTTGTTTTAATTTGGTAAGAGAACACCTCTGGAGCCATAGAGCTTATAAATCTGTACTCTTTAATCTTTAGATGTTCCATTTGAAAATGATTTGTCACTTCCACATTTGTCCCCAGCCAATAACTCCTTGTAAAATGGAATCAGCCATCAGCATTGTTTGTTAATTTTCTCTTAAGATGGTATTGGTTTTGTAGACTGTAATCCTGGAATGCAGATATTTTTTAAAAAGCAAACTTGAAATTTCTTCTCAATTGCACTTTGAAAATTTTTTGTGATCCTGCAGGCAAAAATCATGTTAAAACAAAATTTCTCATTTACACATTCAGTTATAAATATATCTGTAGTATGACAGTATTCCTGCATGCATAATATTGGCATGGAGATCTTGCTGCCTGCTGGGAACTGTGTGTGTGTGTGTCTGTGTGTGTGTGTGTGTGTGTGTGTGTGTCTCCAAAAAAAGGTCTAACCCAAAACTGCAAAAAGTTTGATTTACCAACGCAGTTTTCCTTTTCTTCTTTTTACATCAAACAGACTTGTTCAACCATACTGGGCAGTTTTCATCTATATGCTTAGCCAGGAAAGAATGGAGGAGAAAAGTTATCTTTTGTAGACAGTGAATCACTGAAGAAGAGTAAATGCTGCTGCAGCCTTCATTCCTCTCCCCAATTTCTAATCCCTGAATTTTTTCAAAGAAAGATAACCTCCTTCCAGCTGCCTTGCCCCTCCCATGGAGCACCCCTCCCAGCTGCCATGCCTCCTTTCAGTCCCCCCCCTACCCCCACCCCTACACACACACACTCCCAAGGACATCTGCTCTCACTTGCCTAATTTCCAAGGAGAAGATGTTTCCCAAGAGCCTAGTCACATACTGGCCTTGAAGAGTCTGTCTCAGAAATTTAGGGGCGATACATTTTATCCAAAAGTTAGGTCAAATTGTACATCAAGACCCTCAGAATTCTAAGATTGGTTCTAGGTTTGAAGGGACCTAAGTCAAGCTCATAGAAAACAGACTTTTAGTCTTTCATATTCCACAGATAAGTCTCACTGAGTCATCCCCAATTCTTGTTCTTAGAAATCCTTGCAAACCTGAATCCATTATACAACTTCTAAACATCAAACAAGTTCTGAGGTGTCTTTAACACAAAGCTGTTATGTGTACGGTAATCTAATTTGTTAGGTAAAAATCAAAACAGTGTGCATAGTCAAAGATATGAGACCTGCAGCAGGAAGTCAGGACATCATATAAGGTTGACTCTGATAGCAGTATCCGATTTTGAGAGCAGAAATAATCAGAATA